TTTAAGATTACTTGTTTCCTTTATAAGGCTTAAATTAAGTAACGGTAGGCATTTAACCAGATGGAACATTCAAACCAGAGTAAAATAAATGAATAAATTGGTACTAGAATATGCTAATAATAATTAATATTTTTTTAATAGATAAAATATGAGTATGAGTGTAAATTAATTATAATTGGCTGAACTTTTTTTCAGTCGTAATCACTTATTATTAATTAGTGTGAGTAAAAATACGTAAGTAAAAATTAGAAAGTAAATCATCAAGAAAGCATCTGCTCCAATGATGGATAACCTATTAAATTTGTCAGCTGTCCTTCCGGTTATTAGCTAAGCACAGACTACTTAAGCAGCAATGACTAATTTTCAGATCTTACAAAAAACTTAAATCTATTAATTTTATTTGATATTCATTAGTAGTGAATGTAGCTACTTATATTTAGAAGCTACTAATAATGCTTAGATTAGAGAAAAAAGCATTTCTCATTTAGATATTACTTTTAAAAAAAATCTGGTGCAAAAGCGTGTAAAATACTTTTTGATTTTCTTATCATAATATTGTAATATCTAAATATGCAAATTTCTGCAATTTTTTTTAATAAAGTGCCAAGAATTACTGTACTTCAAACTAAAAGTGACATAGCGACACGTGGCTACGGCAGCATTAATTTTAATAGCTAAAAAAACATTTAGATAAGCGTATTTAAAGTGGCAGAAGCTGTCTGGAAACATTTTCTCGAATTTATTCACATTTGTGTATACTAGATTAGAGTATTAATTTTTCAATAAAAAATTTTTAAATTCTTCGAAAAGTTTTAAAAAATTATTTGAGAATGACATCAATAAAATTGTTACATATTAAATTATTCTTAAAAATTTAAACTTTAAAAGTATTAATTAAAAAATAATGGAAAAACTGAACTCATCAGGACATATTCAAAAATTAACAAAAAGTATTTTATACGCTTTTGCACCAGATTAACAATACTCAAAAATTTGAAATTACTTTTTTATTTAAAAAATGCAATAATTTCTGACAACAATACTTGCTTTTATATAAGATATCGAGACCATTTTCTTCATTATATTGCAACTATCTCAAAACTGTATTCAGACAAGCAGTGAATTCTGCAACAAATAGTACCGTACCGTAACTACTGCTTTACCCTTACTTTTCTTTACTTACATTTATTTATCAGAAGAGATCGTAAGATTAATTTATACATATGGACATGCAAATTAAGGCCCTTGATTATTTTAAAAGTATGACAGCTTGAAAGTATCAAAGACATTCAATTTTTGAAAAATTTTAAAAACAAATTGAATTATTATAAAGTAATTGATCGATATATGAAATCAGTTCAAATGATTAAGCTCGAAAAAGTTTGGCTTATCATATGATAAGTTATAATATAATATTACTAATCATAAGTATGCAAGATAAATTTTGATAAGTTAATATCATACAATTTATGCAAAAGTAGCTAATATAAACAAAATTGAAAAAAGTTTAGAACACGAGAAATTTAAAAGTTCATAAAGCAAAAAACTTAAAATTAATAAAATTTGAATTGGCAAATTTTTGAGATTGAAAACATGCGAACTTAATCTTCAAATAAATGCTTCGAATATAAATAACTGAAATTAAAAATGCTTCAGTGTTAAATTTACTGCACTTCACAACAAATGTTACAGTAAAAACTTTGCTTTATAGAATAATTCTACAAGGAAACCAAATCAAATCATAAAGTTATTTAGATATTACTAAATATTATATTATTATTTTCAGTGACAAAAAGTTCTCGTCATACTCTAAATTCGATCTGATTTATTTTAGCTACTTAATATCAATTTATTTCTGAAAATGGTTACTTGATAGCAAGACACTTGTTGTTTGACCCGTAACGTATATCCAAGTAAAGCTGTCCTGAAATGTCATTTTGCCTGTTCACAGGTTGAATTCTATACCAGCGATCCTCACCAGAATACTTGACAACATCACGCTTTCTTATACTTACTAAACCTATTTGACGTGGTATGCAATTTCCCATGCCTTCGCTAATTACAAAATGTAATTGCGAAAATGTATTGGAAATTTCGTGAATAAAATCATCACCAAAACAACATCTGTAATAATTTATCAAAATAATTTTTTTTACTTTCAAGATTAATCCATTTGTTTAGAGTAGTAAAAAAACTATTTCTGACATATTAAAGACAGATCAGCATTTATTTGTAGCATTTTTTATTTTAGAAAGTTTCATTTCTTGAAATTAATAGTAGTTAAATTGTATTATTTGATTTTAAATATTAATTAAATTAGCATAATTCAAAGTATACTGTCACCGTTGCAATAGTATTACTTGATAGTAGTAAGCTAACAGTAACAATCATAGAAATTTATATAAATTAGATCAGTCATGTAGACATACTTGTTTAAGTATAAAATTAGAGAATTAAATAATAAGGTTCAATATTATAAAGTATTGAAAAAATAGAATCTACATAAGTTAGCTTGATCAATTAAATCTGACGTTTAAAAATTTGATTTAATATTATAAAATCAAACTTTATACGATTTCTGGGATTGAAAAAAAATTTGAAATCATAATGGAAGGCAGCAATAGAAATATTCTGATAAATTATGCTAATTTAATTATATTATTAATTAACTCAAATAAATAAATAGCATTATAATTTGTTAAAAAAAATTTTTGCAAGTTTTATTTATATTTCGGAATTAGTTAAATTAGAATCATTTTTAACTGATGTAATTGTTTACGTTAGCAAAAGCACTGCTTCCGTTCTTATTCACCAAATTTTTCTAACTATTTTGAGATTTTAAAATTGCTTTTCTCTCAAATGTTCGCTTTCAAAAGGAATATTTTAATGTGGGAATGTAAATTTAAAGACCACAGTTTCCAACATTTGTAATTTCTTTATTTTATTAATTGCTGTTTACGTCAACTATTTTAAATTCAAAATAAAAATTTGAATTTGAATTCGAGTATGAGATCACATTAATTGGATAGCAATATCTTGAGGACATCTTACATCAAATGCAATTTCATTTGAAACAAACAAGCTTTCTAGTATTCAATTATCACAAAATTATCTACAAATTTTCAAGCAAAATTTGCAAAAAGTAAGTCAGTAATTTGATGTCAAATTTTAT